AATCCCAAATACTAGTAATTTGGGATTTTGGCGTCCCAAATCCCAAATGATTTGGGATTTGGGCAACACGTATAAACTACAGACTCTAATACTAAAACATCTGATGATGAAGAATCAGATCTAATTAATTACTTAATAAATATGAATAACAGTCAAGCAGAACAACTCCTCAATCTTGTTTAAACTATAGGTAAATACCTTGTAGTTCAAAACAATGTTCCTATGCCTACATTTATAGGAGAAATCCAAGAACCGATGGAATGGCTCGAAGAATTTAAATGATGTACAACAATAAACCAATACACTAATGAATATAAATTCCAATTAGTTGAAGAATATTTAATAAACAAAGTCCAAATATGGTATTAACAAATTGTAAATGATGCCACCTGAATCTTTCAATTTTGGGATGTCGAAACTTGTGAAAAATTTTCTAATATACATAAAAGAAGAAACCAGCTATATTAAAGTGTCTTAAAAATTTATTTACAGAAATTAAGAATATAGAAAAATCTGAAACATATATGGAAAAATCATAAAAAATGTAAAGCTTAAAAAAAATTATAAGATTAACAAATTGTCTAAATAATATCAATAGCTGAAATCCTTTTTGACCTCAAGAATGAATACATAAAAATAACCAAAGAAATAATATTGTTAATTCTTGAAAAAAATAAAATAAATTTTATATTATATCAAAAATTTTTAAAAATTTTTAAAAATTAACAAACTAATAAAATATATATAATATAGAAAAAAATCAAAAATAAAGAATTTTTTGAACACTCTCTTCAATCTTCTACTTCCAAGTCTCTTGCATCTGAACGGTCTCCTGCTTTTGTTTCTACTCCTATTCCTAAAAGGTCTCCTGTTCTCATTCTTGTTTTTAAAAGATCTCCTACTTCTAAAAGGTCTTTTACTTCTGAAAGATCTCATACTCTTGCTTTCAAAAGATTTTTTGTTTTTGAAAGGTTTGAAAAATCTTGATCTCTATTCAAAAAGTTTTCAAAATTAGAAGGGTTTTCAATCATCTCAAAATTACATAAAAAAATTAGTAAAAAAAGAATTAAGATTAAAAATTTTGAAGTAAAAATAAAAAAAAATAAAATAAAAAAAAATAAAGATGAATATAAAAAAGATAGTAAAGGTAATGAAGATGATGATGAATAATAAAATAAATTTTATATATTTTGAAAGTTTTTGTAAATATTAAAATTAATAAATAAAATAATAATAATTAAATATAATAAAATAATAATAAATTATAAATATGATAAAATTTTTTTATATATGATTCATTGAAACTTTTCAAAAAAATTGGAAATATAGTAAAAAATTTGCAAAAATTTCTGGAATATTTGCAAATTTTTATTACAAAAAAAATTTGGAAAACTCAAAAATTCTAAATATTTGTAAATTTTTATTATAAAAAAATTTGAAAAACTCAAAAATTCTAAAATATTTGCAAATTTTTATTATAAAAAATTTTTGAAAAACTGCAAAATTCTGAAATATTTGCAAATTTTTATTATAAAAAAATTTTGAAAAACTGTGAAAATTTCCAGAATATTGCAAATTTTTTTTTCCAGAAAATTTCAAGAGTCTTCTTAACTTCTGGAAGATAAATGAGCTGAAAAATTTCTGGAAATTTTCACCTATTAAAATTTCCTGATGCAATTTTCAATTTTTAAAATTTCTTAATATTGATACTTTATATAAACATACAGCTTGAAGTTATTTTCATTTATTTATAGAATCTATTCTCATTGATAATTAATTGATAATTCTATTTATTTATATAATTCATTCTCAATAATATATTCAATCACTGGTTTGGGACATATTTCATTAATAGATTTCTTGATTCTTTTCTCATAACTAATACTAATACTATTATTCTTATTATCATTATTAATACTTTTCCATTCTTCACTTACAATTTTTCTAACCTTAGTAGATGAAATCTTTGCAATTTCATTATCCAATTTTATTCTTATTAATTTTCCTCCTCCTTCAATCGCGCCTCCTTTTCCAATAATTTCTTTTACAATGTCACTATCAAAAAAGGCATCTTCGGCTTCTTTCCCACCATATCCTTCACGATTAGCACAAATGAGATTACTTGATTCAAAGAATAGACTAAGTTCTGAACGTAAATTTGAATAATATTGAGAATCAAACATGCGCATTATAGTATCAAATCCTACAATGAAATAGAAAGATATATCATTTGAAGGAAAATTATTATTCGAATTTTTTAAGGATGAAAAAAATGAATGTAAAGCTTTGGTTTTATCTATAAATCTTCCATGAGTAACAAATCCCACAGCAATATTTTGAAGTGCTTCATTATTATTATTATTATTATTATCGTTATCTTTATTGGCATTTATATATTCCGCAAGATTTTCCATCATAAGTAATCTATCTATTGGTCCAGCATCCGAAGGTGAAAGTATTTTATCCGCATTTTTTGTCGCATAAACTAAGAGACAAGCATCAAAAAACGATGATGAAAAATTACTTTTTTCATGAGCTTCTTGTGTCTGAGGAGAGTACGTATTAGTTATGGCATTAACTGATTGTATAAGTAATTGAATGTGCGCTTTAGTAGGAGGATTAAATGATGAATCAAGAATTGCAATTCTTGTTATTCTTGTTTTATTATTATTACTTAAATTTTTATTCTTCCCATAAGGCCAATTGGGTGAATTAGAATAAGTTAATTTGAATAAAGGTTTGGTAGGATCAAGTTCAATTTCCTTTTGTGATGCCGAAAGAATTTCTTCTAAAGTTTGCCGGCGTGCTAATTTATGCGAATACATTCTTTCAATAATTTTTCATCAATTTTTCAGTATATATTTTTGTCTGTAGCACTCACATGATTATACCACATGAAATTAAGAAGAAAAAATAATATGTGGATATTGATAAGATATTTCTGGTTTCACGTTTCACAAAATAGACATGAAGAAAATTTTTTAATCATGTAAAAAATTTCTCATACATTCGTCTATGAAAAAAGTTTCTTCACTATCCCCTTCAACAATATTCTGGGGAGGCCTCTTCCGGCCTCACATAAAGCAAAATCTATTCTTCCTATCAAGTTCTTTTGACTTTAAAGCTTTATTATTATTTGAATATCAACAAGGTGTGAATAGATAATTATAATAGATAATGATGAATAATGGATAATAATAATGATGGATAAAAACTTTTAACTTTAAATAATGATAACTATAATTATTATAATTTATATAATTATAAAAAGGGAATCAAAGATGGGCATCGAAGAAATCAGGAGGATCTACTCACAACGCTCGAGATTCTCCTGGTAAAAGATTGGGAGTAAAAAAATTTGGGGGTAATTTAGAATTTTTCTTTTTTTTTTTATTTATCACAATTTCATTCACATTTCATTCACATTTAATTCCCAATTTTTTAGCTGAACGAGTTGTTCCAGGAAATATCATTGTAAGACAAAGAGGAAAAAAATTTTGGCCAGGAGAAAATGTAATTATCAATACTGAATCTAATTTATTATTGAAAATATCAAGTATCAAGTGTAACGTCTACAACATATAACGTATAAATATAATATATATATAAATATATATATATTAAAGGTTTACATGGGAAAAGATTTTACCATACATGCAGAAGTACCAGGCTGGGTACAATTTTATGATCATCCAACACGTCATAATAAAAGATGTGTTGGAGTAGTATTACATAAAGATGACAAATTACCTTATCCCAAAACACAACCTAGAAAACGTTTATTTGATTTAATAAATCTAAATGATTATTATGATGAAAAAGAGAGACTTAAAGAAAAAGCTATCGAAAGAATCGAACGTGAACGTAGGAGAGGTAATTACAGTAATTAATGTTATAATTGATTTATTTTGGATTTTTAAGATTTCTTACAAATTTTCCATTTTTTTTTATATACATATAGATCAAGAATATTATAGATCTTTATAACATAGTTGTAAAATATAAATTTACGATAAATTTATAATATTTTGAGTGATATCTTTGAAAATATATTGTTCCACATAATATTATATGATAAAAAAAGACAAAAAAAAAAATAAACGAAAATAACAAAATAGTTATTATTTATTAAAAATAAACATCAATATTTTAATTTTCTAAGAGTTCCAAATTTATACTTAATTTTTGAATTTTTTATTATATAACTTGTATTTCTAATTTTTTTTTTAAATTATTAAAAATACACCATTTTATCATCTATATCTATATCTATATGTATTGACGCTAATAAAACCTATAATTGTAATATAAAACTAATTAATGCATTTCAAATCTATTAAATAATAAATACTTACGTTTTAAATTTTAAAACCTTCAAACCTTTTGAAATTATATGCTACAAGTCCAAAAGAACTCTCATTTCATTTAAAAATCCTAAAAAATGTATAATATTTATTTTTTATTATAATTTATATGAATTAAAAATACCCAATTTTAATCTTTTTATCTATATATGCGATTCCAACTGATTCAAAAACCGATTTGAAACCAATTTACAATGTACCTTTGACACTTTGACAGTGCGTTATGATTAATTTTGATAACTTGATTATTTTATTGTATTACAACTCAAAATAATTTCTTTTGATATTTTAGACGAATCTCATTAAAAAAATTCAATTTTACGTGACAAAATAGAATAGCCTCATATGTGTCTTGCAAAGTGATGGTTTTTTCAATTAGGGTAAGTTAAAGTTAAGTTACAAATCACATGAAAAGTACAGCATTCTTGTTTACCACAAGATCCGCGGATTATACTTATTGCGACCGAGATACTCCTCGAAATATGTAAGATCACATCACATCACATTAAATATCAGATCGGGTCAGATTATAAATAAACCTGACCCGACCATGCGGAACTCTACTATACAATAGATTATATATAGTAGTATATTTAAATGCATAACAGATATTATATAATTTATATAATGCACGACAGATATTATACAATTTATGTAATGCATATAATGCATATTTTAATTATCTAAGCAAAAGAAGTTTAAAAATTTTTTTGAAATTTTTGAACCAATAAAAGGAAATATTATAAATATAATATTTCTTGATTTGGCAATAATCTTTTATAAAATATAAGTTTTTTATAATTTAGAAATTTTATAAATAAAAGACGAGGTTAATCAAGTAAAATGAGAAGACAAATAACCATGAATGTTAAAATTATTTAATAACAATAAAAAATATTTTCCTTAAATGAATCTTTAAATAATAATTATAATAACCAAAAAAAAAAAAAAATGTGCAAGTCACAAATAAATCAAATAAATCAACGTAACAATAACAATAATAAAAATGCAAAGACAATTTTGAATGATCAAGGTGCTTTGGTCACTTTGGAAATTCGAGATAACATCATAATATTAAAAGCAACAAAATTCACTAAAATTTTCAGTATTAAAACTACCGAAACTACTATTACTTCTACTCCTTCTACTCATTCTATACCAACCACACAAATATTTTCAATAGAGAATACTTTATTATCATCTTATCCAACTAATTCAATTATTAATTCACCAACAATTAATCCAACAATTGATTCAGCAACAATTAATCCAACAATTAATCCTATTGTTAATAATGATAATAATAATATTCAAAAAAATGATACTAATTATATTATTCTTTTAACTATTATTTCATCAATTCTTGGGATAGCTTTGATTGGAAGTTTTTTCGTGTGTTTATTTCGAAAAAAAAGATTACATAAATTTATTAAATTAGTATCTCGTAAATTGGATGGTAATGATGGTAATGTTGGTTCAACGAGTGGTGATGGTCATAAACAATATATAAATATGAATTATAATAGTAATTATAGCATTAATTATAATAATAATAATAATAGCAACCCAGTTCGACATATAACTTTTATCAATGATAAAGATGATTTGAGTTCTGAAAGTTCTAAAAGTATAAGTGATATAAAAAATGGGAATATTGTGAACAATACAAATATTCCACTTTATCTTCATAAGAAATCATTTAGTCTTCATACTCCTTCACAATTAAAACCTTTACAACTTTCTAGATCAAATACTTTGCCTCTTAAAATAAAATATTTACAACAAAATGAAAATGAAAACAATTTCAATTTCTTTTTCAATGAGAAATCATCAACTTCAACCGAAAACAACATTATTAACGATAAAAAAACCAATAATGCCAGCGATAACGACAAAAAAACCGAAAAGAATAATCCAACTAAAATTAAAAAACTTCATCTAAAACATCCACCTAGTCTTGATTTATTATTATCTCAAAATTTAAATCCTTCTTCTCATTCCTCCTTTTCCCCTTCCACCTTCTCATTCTCTTCCACTTCCACTTCCTCTTCACCACTTTCAAGTTTAAGAACTCGTTTTAACCTTTCATCAATTGAATCATCATCATCACTATCATCATGTACAAAATCTAGTGCTTTGAATTCTTGTTCAACTATAATTGATTCACCAACTATTCCTTCTTATCTTCTTTCTCTTCCACCACAAACTCCTTTAACTATTCCTAAAAAATCTTCTGAAAACAATTTCATGGAAAATTGAAATTGTAAAAGAAAATAATGATGAAATTTTACAAATAATAATTCTTTTTTTTTAAAAAAAAAATTTTAATTCGTGATTCATGATAAACGGAAAGAGATCTACATATAAGAATAAGAATAAGAATATCACAAGAACTATCTTAAAAAAGTCCCTTTCTCCAAAAACAATGGTTCTGATTTAAACATATTTTCAGTTTAGATATGCCTTTTTTAATTATTAAAAAAAAAAATTTATATATAATTAAAAAAAGTTGCATATAATTCCTTTCCGTTTCTGGCGAATCACGAATTAATAATTTAATGTAAATAATTTAATAATTGAGTATTAATATTAATACTTTATTGGTTTCAAGTAACAAGGATAATATTTATTTATGATGTTAATAATATAGTAATTTTTATTTCGATAGTTTGGTTTGTATTGCGTGTATGGTTATTTTGTTAAAATTAAAAATTTCGAGCGTTCGTGGATCTACCTTAGACAAATGTAAAAACAGGTAATGATTTATTTTAACAAAATCTTTAGAAAATAATAGAAAATAATTCATTCTGTTTTGTTTTTATTAACAAATATTTCGTCAACAATATAGAAGAAATAAATATTCTCTTATTTATTTAAGAACAATTAAGGTACTTCAATGTTGTACTGTACACATGAAAATGTCCATTGTATTTTTCTAGAATATTTAATTTCCGCTTATGAAAAGAGGAAATTAAATATGTACACGGTAGTATGTAAATTTGTTGTTTCTTGATTCAAGTTAGGTATTTGTATACGTTAAACTTTTTCAAATGCTGGAATACATTATTGAAATTATAAACTATGCTTAAAATTTTTCAAAGAAATGACAATATATGCACATGATGTCGCGAAATCAAATGATTCAACTTCTTAGCTGATAGTGATGTAGATATAAAACCAACAGAATTTCCTGACACACGAATGCAGTTCAAAGCAATATTGAATCCTTTGAAATGACTTTAAAAGATCATATTCGTCTCTAAATCAAGATGAATCCAAAAAAAAAAATGAAAAACAAAATAAATTTTCGCAATAAGCCATCTAAAATTTCAAGGGATAAATACTACGCCTGGACAAAAAAATATGAAAAAAATGGCACACCATTGTCTAATGCATTAAAATTTGGAATCTGTTTATATTGTAACAAAGCAAAAAAATAATAGTGTACGGAATGTGAACCAAAAAGAATCGCAGAAACAGTTGGCGAATGGACAAGTAATAAATCTTAAGTTAGATGAATATATTCATCAAACCCAATTGAATCCATTGAGTGTTTATGATTATTTTGAATGGATTCCATTTAATAGAATTATTGATCAAAAATTTACAACAAATGGTGGATTCGGTAGGTTTATGAAGGCACTTGGATAGATGGACCAAAGGCATGACGTTGATTGTCAAGAGTGGACATGTTGCATTGAAAACAATTAAAGTTCAACAGTATTATTCTTATAATTCTTATTATTAATGTTTTTTAGTTAAAGGCACAAGTTTTATCGGTGAAATAGTTTCACACTTGATGAGATGTTATGGAATCACTCAAGATCCAAAAAAACCGGACACATATACATTAGTAATGCCATGGGCAAAGGATGGTGACTTAAGTGGTTATCTCGAAAAACATAATATGATCCAGATTTTAAAATAATCAAAAGAATTCTCCACTATTAATTCAGTTAAAGTAACAATGATATTTATATAAGTACTTCCCTTGATGTTGAAACAGAATATCCGAGTTCTCAAAGATACGCCAAAAGCAATAATTTCACTTTGGAAAGTAATGACACTTTCATGATTTCTCATGAATATCAATATTCTTTTTAAAACTTAAGACCATTATTCTGGTTAACTCAGTAACTAAATGTCATATTTTAATTGAAAAATATTAAAGCTTTATTAAATATTCGAGGGTCAAAAGAATTTCGGCCTATGTATAGTTTAAACAAATATATAGAATTATTTGTTTCGTGATATGGGTGCACGGAATTATTTTTACTTTTGTTCTTCTAATCAATTTCCGAGAATACTATAGTGGAATAATTTTAACTAAAATTTATGTTACTAATGTTAGTATATTACTGTATATTAATGTTAATGAAGTTGGTGAAGTTATATATGTCACAACTCTGTGCTTTGTTGCAACATTACAATTTATAAACTTAATAATGCAATAGCATATAACATATCAAATAAATAAATAAAATAAAATATAAACATGAAAACTTATAGATATCTTTCACGTTCTCTATTCGCTCTTTTCTTTTCTTATCTGTGGTTTCTCTTTATTTACCTCTTCTTGATAATTTAAATTATATCTTTATCATTAATAAAAATCAAATTATTAAGTTTAGACTGTTAAAATGATAGAATCAATAACCAATAAATTGTTTTCGGGTGACAATAACTCAATGAATAAAATGATATTTCAGATTTCAAATGATATTAGACACATCATTGTAGAAAATTGTTCCACGTTGCATAAAATCAATGTGAAGCATTAAATTAATACACTTTCTTCAGACAATAATAACTTGAAGAGTATTGATGTTAGAAGGATGATTAAAATACCATTGCAAAGTTTAAGAGAAGAACTTTTGAATTGTATTGGAAATATCCTAATAAAAAGTTGTGTTTCTTTGATTAAAAAAAATCAAAAATAACCAAAATTATTCATCTATCAATAACAATAAAAATAATGAGTCATCTAATAATAACAAGTCTTCTCAAACAAAATAAAATTATATCATTAAACAAAAATGAAGCGAGGAGGATTATTAATTCATATTATAGCATTTTATCCTTAAGAATCAAATTATGAAATGTACTAAATTTAAAAAATTCGTAGTACTAGTAAGTACAGTTAAAGCTCCTAATGTAATGGCTCAGTTCAGTTCTAATTTTGAACTGGAACTGAACAAAAATTTAAGAACTGGTTTGGTTTGGAACCAAAATTAAAAATAATCAAACCAACACCGAACCTGAACTGAACTGAACCGGTTTACAGTCCGGAGCGTAGCGTAGGACTTTTAATGTACGCGCATTTTTGATACCAAAGTTACATATTTGATGCAGCAATAGTCAAAATATCAAAACGTAACTTGGAAAGGAATTCTGTCCGATTTTTTGATAATGATCATTAGATAATGATCACATATTAAAATATTATATATGCTCCGGACTTACCATTTCCTAGTTAGTATAATTAAATCATGCGATATTTAAAGATTTGATTGGATAATGGTTTTGCTGATCAGAAATATCCTTATTTTAAACTAGAAAGTATGGATTTTTATTTTGTTTGAGATATTTATAGCAATAATAATTCTCGGTCATTATCATGGTTAGAAGACTTGTTATTATTAGATAACTCATTATTTTTAGAAAGTTTATTATTATTGATAGATAAATCATTTTGGTTATTTTTATTTATTTTTAATCAAAGAAACATAACTTTTTATTAGGATATTTCTAATACAATTCAAAAGTCCTTCTCTTAAACTTTGCAAAGGTATTTTCCTTCTAATATCGATATTCTTCAAGTTCTTATTTTCTGAAGAAAATGTAATATTGTATTTCACATTGATTTTATGCAACATGAAACAATTTTCTACTATGATATTTTTAATACCATTTGAACTTTGAAAAACAATTTATTGATAATTGATTTTATTATTTTAACAATTTAGATTTAATAATTTAATTTTTATTAATGATAATTAATAAATTATAGTTTAAATTATCAAGAAGAGATAAAAAAAACATAAAAATTTATAGATATCTTTCACATTCTTGTCTATAATTTCTCTTTAAATATCACTGCAGGTAATTGTCACTACTGACAAAATTAAATTTATATGGCATTGACTGAGATTCACCTTCAAAAGAATTCAATAAACTAGTAACTAAAAACAAAAAAAAAATATGTTAGCTAATACTAAACAACTATACTAAATATACTATTGTTATACTATAAAGAAAAGTATAAATATGAAGTTTTGTTATATGGATTTACTTGAAAGAGATTAAAAGGGATAATATTTTTAATAAAAGATAAGTTGTTACATGTGATTTCCACTGTTATTGTATTATACTTGCATGCAAAATTATTTTAAGGTTTCAAAATTACAATTTTAAAAAAAAAAATTATAATAGTTTTTCATAGAAAACAAAATTATTTTACTTAAAACTCAAAATTTTTTGATTACTCAAAAAAATTCCTTGATTAAAAATACACTTAACTAGATATTTTTTTACTTCCATATATAAAATAGATTCTGAGTAAATTTCAAAAAGCAAAATATTTCAAAAATCAGAAATTAATTTAGAGAACATGTATATATTATATGGATAATCTTTGACCAGGTATATATTTTTTATATATCTCTAATATTTTAGTTAATAAAAATATATTTTGGTTATATAGGTGCCACCCAAATTCAAAATGCTAAATCCCAAATTCCAAATTCCAAATTCCAAATTTTAAATTCCAAATTATTAATTGCCAAAATTCCAAATCTCAAATTATGTCAAATTCCAAATTCCAAATATTATGAAAATTAAATATTGATAGCTAAAATGCTAAAATAATTTGAAATTTGGATGACATATATATTTGGTTACATTATTATATACATAATCCTGTTAGTAAAAAGTCAGTAAATAAGTATGATGATAAACTGTACAGTATGAAATATTATTTTGTACTGTACAAATTTTTGCACAAAATTTGTACAATAATATATATATTATAAGAATCTTATTGTATTGTATAAACTTTTTTATGTTAAAAACTATATAGTACAAGTATTTTTATATTAAAAAGTTAAACAGTACTAAATATAAATTCAAACCCTGTAATATATATTATTATCTATTTATGTCAAAATTAAGAGTTAGAGTTTGTATTACATACAAATTAATTAGGGGTGTTACATTTTATTATCACCACCTCAACACATCCCAACATTCAATTTTTATTATATTTTTTTAGAAAAATATTATTCATCACATTTATATATTACCGAAATAAAATTTCTACAGTTAAAAATATCATGTAATATTAGTTAATTAACCATACAAGTTACAAATAAATTATACAAGTCACTATTCATACAGTACAAAATAGTTTTTGTACTGTACAGTTTATACTGGTCGAAAATTGATAATCATATACATATCGGGTACCTGATATGTACATAGTATGTCCCTAATATCAGACATATATTGAATACTCAATAGATGTAGAAAATATTTTATATATTGTGACGCAATATTTTTATATTAGTTATCTTATTTTATTTTCATATGTATTTTTATTTATTATTTTATATT